GAAGCACTGAGTGATATGGCTGGGTGTCGCAAACAGTGGCGTTCGTGCATCCACTCATTATTCTCCTAACACCACTATATTAGTTCTTCATCTTCCGCTTGAATTTGCTTTCGATCTTCATCTTGCTCTTTTGTCCAAATGGGCGACCAAAAGTGCATGGTAATGGTTGTACAAACTAAAAACTGAAACTGATCTATTGTAGCCCCGGATGTCGGCTTTTGGTCCTCTCACTGGTGCGAAAATATCGCCACGAGAAGGCAGTGAGTAAGGCTTCCTCAGCGGAGGCTATTCGAGACGCTTGCTCGTATGGGAGCTTTTCGCGGTGTACAAGAGAAGGATGACCAAGGTCAACCCTAGACACCCACCCCGGACCATACTAAGGCTTTCGGAGGTTGCTGAGAAATGCAGAAGAAACGCGCTGTCGGCTTGCAAGGATTCTAGCGAGATATTAAACTGTAGAATTTCTATAAAGGTTAATGCGAGAGGGTAATAAATGATATGTAGAGCTCGTAGATGAATGGGAGGGGCATTTAGATAGATCGCCATGAAAAGGATTAGTTGGGGCCAAAAAGGGTTTTCTGTTCAAATGTTTCACGTGCGGATAGGTGGAGTTCACACAGTCTTTTAGATAGAACATCAACGGGTATAAAATATGCGCGACTGATTGTCGACAAATTTTCAAGTATTTCCTAAGTAGCCCAGCAAAAACCACCGGGAAACAATGACTGTGTGAGATGCTCACTTTAAGTTAGTGTCAATTGTAACTCCTAAATAACTCACGGAATCTACTCTGATTCGAAAATGTGTTCGTGATCGAGGAGTCAAGGTATAATCAGATCGAGAGAGGGTAAAAGTGCATTCGAAGCACTTGGATAAATGAAGAGACAGTCCGGAACGAACGAAGAATTCGTGGGTATGCGAGAAATTAAGGTCCTCCGTTCTGAGAAATGGCTGGACTAACGAGTACGTTATCAGCGTATTTAAATAATTGGACTAAAAAAATTCGCCGACGGATCACTGATATAAGTCATTACGTCTTTGACTCAGCCCCCCCCCGTTTACTCTGATTCGCTTTTTGCAATAAAAAGTAAAAGCAAGTAAAAATATCACCAGGCTACTCCGCGGTACGGAAAAGTACTGTTAGAAACTAAAAAAAGGGCATATCATGGTTGAGATGTTAATCAAGGCAGCTGATCCCTACAACAACCCATTTAAAAGGGGTTGTAGAACTTTCCAATGATTGCAGTCCTTCAAAGAAAGTGTTTCCGTGAGAAGTTAAAACCTCGCATGTAGTTCTAACGAATGGGGCTGATGATTTCACAACTTTTATCATCGGGACCAGCCACGTCAAATCGGTGTTGGACGGCCAAATGTTTGGGAACGTGGTATTGTCGACCACTGGCCTCAGGCAACCCGTAAATGTTTCGTTTGTTAACACTGAGAGATTCAAGAGTATGAGAGAGATGAATAAAAAAGCCCACGATCCGGTCATCAAAGCAGTAGATGTGTTCCCGTCGGCCGAAACAGTCTCGTGGGATACTGCTTCCTAGGATTCTTCAGTCGTGGATAAAATGATTGCCTCTTTGGCTCTCTCTCGATCCAAACATTAGGCTTGAGGTCCACCTAACATCTATTCAATTAAATGGTCATTCCTAGGTTTTACCTGACCTATTTCTTCACTTGTTCATTGCCTGTACAGAATCAGGAGTACGACTACCGACTTCGCAATTCACTCTCTCCGCATTCCTCATTTGTAGCCAGACCATTCTTTCAACAGTCATGTCCATTCTGTTACGGACTGTAAGACTCATTCCCCGACCTGCTTCTATCGTCAGTCGTCAAATCTCGTCCGAACATAAGATCGACCCATCAGATGATTTGAATCATGTAAGTTGTAGTCCTTTTTCCTAAGTTCATAATGACTAATCCTTACCCAGGTCATTCTTTTGGGTACAGTTAACGGAGTAAATAGGGCCACTGATCCGGGTAAGAATCACGTTTCAATCAGCCTGCGAACGCGTGATGTGTATCGAGCTGCTAAAGGCTATGGTATGAAAGTAGTTAGTCATCGGTAAGTTGGACCAAGTCCTTGTGCACATTATCGTTTATCAATATTTGACGCCGTTTTATCGTTTGTTTGTATTATATGAATTTTCTCTTTTTTCATTTTTGCTTCATTTTATTGAATACACAAAGATACCGTTTTCAGGAAGGCGAAGGCG